TACCGGATGAAATGATGTGATGAACACCAGATCCACCAATATCATATGTCAATGCATCTGAGCCAATAATCCATTGTGCAGGTTTTGTGAATTGATCCTTTTGATTATAAATTTCTGAGAGTATCATCTGAGTATCATGAGTTTGAGCAAGATACTCGATAGCCTCATCACCAAATTTCCTTGATTTATCGGTATTATCTTGGTAAAGAAGCCATTGCGATAAGGCTTTTAACAAAGGCTCAGGAATAGAAATAGAAGTATCCTTCACTGCACGCGCAACAAGATCCGAAAATTGTGCGCGCTTTTGAAGTTTAGCAATCAAAACTCCAAATGCAAATTCAGGAGTTGATTTAACAACATCTGAATGGCCAAAATTTGCAATATATAAACGATCTTTAAAAACTTCTTCAAGCATTTTGATATATGGCTTTTCAATATTTGGTAATTCGATAATATCATTCGAATGACCATTTACACCATTTAATTGTCGAGATGTTGAGTCATCATTTCCGACAACAAAGTTCTGACGTAGTTCACCTGACCCGAGGCTTTCAAACAACGAGACAACGTCATCATCAATAGATTCTTTTTTAACAGTTCCATACTTGCCACTGATTATAGCTGGCGCTTTACCTGACCAAAGAGTTTGATTTTGAAATGCTGAAACAATATCGAGATATAATGGTGTCCATTTAGTAGTACGTGCAACAACTTGTTCTAATACTGCCACTTTTTGAATCTTTTTGGGAATATTAGCAAAAATTTGATTCTCTGACCAAGGACGATAAATCCTTATTTTCATTACACTGACTTTAGAGCTTTTCTTTATAGCTTTTTGTAAATACAATGAACCTGAACCAAGGGTGATTATAAGCAATTTTGAATTTGGATCACCAATATATTCAAAGCTACCATACGAACGGCCTGTTTCTTGTTTAAATTGTGTGAAAATTCCCTCAACTGTCGAAAAAAAGTCGATATTTTTATTTAATTTATTGCTACTATCATTA